AATACTCACGAGTTTCTGTTTAATTTGAATAAATTTTAAGAAATGGTTTTATATATATTTTCTTTTCTTAATTCTGTTTAATACTATTTTTAATAAATTCATCAAGTAACTTTATTTATTAATTTCTTTAAGAAGTATATAATAAAAAATAAAAATATTTTGTGATCTCCTATTTCTGAGCAAAATGTAATTAAATTCTAATTAATTTTAATGTAAACATTATTTATGATCAAACACTAGTAAAATCGAAACATAAATATGTTGTAACTTTAATATACCATCTAACTATATTAAATACTATGTATAAATATAACTGCATTTTTCTGTTCAATAGATTTTCCGTTTTAACTGGTTTTAAATATCGCAACTACGCGCTACGGTACACCTGACAGTGGCAGCACCAATCAGGTGTTACAGGCCTAGTCTCTACTCTATATTGTCAGTATACTAGTCGTGGTAGTGGTGTCGTGGATCATATTTTCTGAATACGGAGTACATAGCGCTTGTGGTAAAATGCAATATCTACCTCGCGGGAAAGAAGTCGGTTAATTAATATTTCTTTTTATTCTTCGTGTAGGAATATTAGCCACGTAAAAGTTCCTTACTAAATCAGTAATTCGCGTGTTGTTTGTCATGTAAAATGAGCTTTTCCGTGAAAAAAACAGGTGGTAGAATGTGGCATGAAGCGCGAAAACAGGAAAAGAAAATTCGTGGGATGCTGGTGGATTATCGTCGCCGAGCTGAACGACGACGAGATTACTATGAAAAGATCGTAAGATATACAATTAAATAATAACCATGTGTTATTTTTATGACATTTCAAAGTGTTAATATTCTTCGACGGAAAATCTAACTTTCATGATTCTTTCGGTTAACCTCAAAATTGTACTCTTTAGTTTTTATTGTTGATTGAAAAAATATATAAATCTTTTAAGATGTACATTTATGCGCCGTAAGGCGTAATAATTTCATTGCAAAATAATTAATTTTTGTATTTAATGGTTTAATATATAAGAAGTTATAAGAGACATGTATGTATATCTAAAATTGAAATCTACAATATATTGGAAAATGTTTATTTTTATTGCCCATGTGTATGTTTCTGTAGAAATCAGATCCTACACAATTTCTACAACTACATGGAAGACCATGTAAAATTCATTTGGATCCTGCAATAGCAACGGCTGGTGATAGTCCAGCAAATATGTAAGTTAAAGTGTTATAATGAATTTTAATTGAATGCACCAAAACAGTGAAAATATTTATTATTATCATTATTATTCTGCCCTAGATAATAACTTATGCAAATAAAATTATGAATTTAAATATCAT